ATGCCACGTAGAATTAAGGCAGTTCTGAAGGCGAAAGGGGGTCAAACACCGTATTAGTATGGTGTTCCTAATAATCCTTTAGGTGAGTGTATATCTATCATGCAACAGGTATTCAGATTAACCTCCGACTGTAAAATTTCCTGTAAGCCACACCTAGTGGACAGCAGGACATGCAGAAGGCATGGACGTGACGGCTTTTGATCCCTGATTTTTACCCTCCTTTGCAACACAAATTTTGTTCACACAGTCTTACGCTGAACTACACCCGATCGAGTCACACCTGATCGCATTTACGTCCATGGTCCATAGTAAATAATATACACTGATGGACAGACGTCTATTATACGCTGTACCGGCTGTATAATGACCCACTGTCATATCTAACTTATAAACAGTAATGCATGTGTGATGCACTGCTACAATATCGAGAGACGCCGAATGTCAGATGGATGGACTGGTTGGCTGTGTATAGCATTTGGTTGACACTTGCTGTTTTTAAATGTGCTTTATAACTAAAGTGATGGATGTGATGGGTGACTCTGAATAGGCTTCACAGACCAGCAAAGGAAAAAAACAGCATGTACATTTTCATCCTAAAGAGGCTGTTTGCCGGTTTCAGAAGCGCCTTTCTGCTGCACGGAAGCCTGACCGCGTGTCAGCGCTGAAATGCGGAGGACGGCGCATCTCGTCTGATGACAAGAAACCGTGTCGTGTTAATTACCTCTAAATAAAAAGTAATATTGTTTCTGTAATTAGGGATTCTGCGTGTGAGCCAGACTCTGCCGTTTCCGAGCAGCGTTTACCGCGAAGGCGTGTTTTAAAAGGCTAATACTCCAGATGCACTGAGAAATGGTGTAACTGCACGGTTAATTAAATTTCCCCCTAAAAGGACAAATGAAATTTTTAGTTTGTCAGTTAGACGTGAGAAAGATGTCGGTCTGTTTTTCACCATATTTCTCTTTATTTTAAGCGCATTAGATAAAAAAAAAAAGTATCCCTTTGATTGCGAATATCCAGGTTTTGTTTAGTCAGCTGTCTGGTTTAAGTGATTAAGTTCGGTATAGCCTTTAAACAGCACAGGGTGCTGGACAGCATCCGTCACCTCTGAAAGGGAGGAACATCGTTAAATTAGGTGCGTGGTGTTTATACCGTTTTACCTTAACATAGCGTCGATTTATAGCGTATTCATGAGCACCATAAGTTAGGATGATTAGCTTTTGGAACATGATTGGCCAGAATCTCCAGCGGTGTCCCTGGGTTTATGGGAGGGTCAGCCTGTGTGCTACACTGTAGTTGTTAGTAGGAGGTGGGACACGGACCTGTAGGGGAATTACAGGGGAATTACAGGAAGGTTGCTTTGTTTTCTCTGCAAACGGTATTACTGTGGATGGAGAACTGGTGATGACGGCGAGGCTTGGATAGGAATTCTCTTTGTGGTGACAGCTGTGGTGACGGTGACCATGCAGTCCTCCATGCCACACCCCCACCCCCCACCCCGACCGACCCCGGGAGGGAGTACAGATAGGGCTACCCCAAAACTCCCAGCCTCAGGTCTATGGCCACCAGTAACCTAGTCATTGGGTCTCAGCATGCAAACCGGCAGCGTGACCTGGGGGGGCAACACGTAGTACTGCTCTCCTGAGGCCGGGACAGAGCCCCCCCCCCCTTTTATGCCAGGATGAAAGGAGATGAGAGCCCCGGCCGGCCCCTGCCTCTTTGTCACCGTGGGATTAACAGGCGCCTACTGAAAAGGAGGGAAAATGCTGCGTTTCTCCCTGAACAGGCCGCTTGCACAGCGGGAACAATAAGTGCACAAGCCGTGTTTAAAAAGCAGAGGAGAGGCGTGGCGGGGGCGAGATCACGGGGTCGCACAGACCCCAACCAAGGAACAAGACCCACACAAGCCCCGCTGATGTCCATCTGATCCCACAACCAGTCTGACACTATTTCTGCAGCTTTTTTCTGTTTGTATCTTTTATATCTGCTTTTATATATGAGTTTTCATTTACTGTTGTATGGTAGATAAATATAAATCTGTCATTTTTGCATCCCTGGACCTGGAGGCTAACGGCACAGGGTGTTAGGAGCTGGGGGCTAACGGCACAGGGTGTTAGGAGCTGGGGGCTAACGGCACAGGGTGTTAGGAGCTGGAGGCTAACGGCACAGGGTGTTAGGAGCTGGAGGCTAACGGCACAGGGTGTTAGGAGCTGGGGGCTAACGGCACAGGGTGTTAGGAGCTGGGGGCTAACGGCACAGGGTGTTAGGAG